CTCACAAAAGAAAATTGTACTTCTATAATTAGCAAAAGCAAAAGTAATTTGCTGTAATTAATTACAAATCAAAAATCAAGCTGTGTTTGGTCTGGGGTAAATGGGCATCTCTGCGCGCCTTTTTTACTCAACTAAAACTTCTTAAAGCCAAAATTAAATAATAATCGCCTGGCCCCACCAGATTGGGCTTAATGTGGGTCACAAAACCACGAAGCAAAAAAACTTTTGCCAGCTACCTTTTCAGTGCTGTGTGAAGGCTGGGGCACTCAGAATTGGCCCAAAAGTACGGCAAAGCTTTTTGTCTGCCTGTATCCTGTGTGACACAGAGTCTGTCTGTGTATGTGTGTGGGTGTGTGCCGGCATGCGTGTGTATGTGAATGCGTTTTATAATCGAATTAATTAAAATTTTGCACACTGCCTGCCTCTGCCTCTGCCTCTGCCCCTGCCCCTGCCTCTGCCTCTGCCTCTGTGCTGTAGTGAGTGAGCTCTTTAACGTTGTGCGGGTACACTGAAAATAAAACTTCTCCTACTTCCAAATTGTAAATTCTAAAAAATTATATTTATTGATTTATTAAAGTTTTAGCTTTCTTTCAGTCTGTACTTTAAACTAGTTAATCTCAACTCTCTGATTTTGCTCAGTGTATAAGTTTAGCAAGCTGCCCGCATGCTGCAGTTGCTGCTGTGCCTCGTTTACTGAACAGCTCCTGCTTTGTTAAGCGAAATTTCCAATTCAGTGAACTTTTTGTTGCCAGCTGCCTGACACCTCCCGCCTCCCTCTAGTTCTCTTCCTCCTCGTTTTGTTTGAACTGTCCCCACTCACGCCACCTGCCTGGCTCCTTTTTACGGCTGCTAAACAAAAGCTTTTGTTGTAGCCACAAATTTGGGCCACAGCAGAGAAAGACAGACAGACAGACAGACAGACAGACGTATCCATATCAATGCTGGCTGCTTGCCTGCCGCCTGATAACTGTTGGGTCAGTCAATGTCCTGCGTAATCGTCACAGTTGTCTGCACCAGAATCAGCAGCAGCAGCTCAACTGACGTCACCAATATACCTACTTTAATATAGTATATTCGAACTGAACTTTATTAATTCGACAGAGTTGTTAGTTCACTTGGTTAAATAATTTTAATTGTTCAGTTTGGAGCTAGTTCCAGACTATTTTAGTGTGTCTGCTGGCTCGTACTTCGAACTAATTCCGATTCTTTTAAAACAAAGTTTGCCCTATTTGGATTTCCCTAGAGTCGAATTAGCATGCTAGATTAGATATACTGTGAGCCGACAGCACTTCAGGGAGCGCACAGTAGGCATATGCCGCATTACGTATACGCCGTATAATACCGCCAAGCAAACTTTGCCTTTCATGCCATCTCAACGATGCTTCTATTTTTTTTTTAGTATCCTCTGCCTGTCTCTCAGCTGTTGCTTCGCATGGACTACAACGCGTGCTGCTTAATTTTATTGCCTAAATAATTCATGAATTTCCGTCCATTTGGCTGCTTTGGTTTTGGTTGTTAACGGCGCTTATAAGCCGCTTAATGGATGGCCAAATAAAAGGTCGTCACATCCGCTGCTTACACGCTCACAGTGATACTTATTCAAATTGCACCATAACCCTTAGTCCGTCTCCTTACGTATGTATATCCACTATTTGCATAAAACTTTTGCAACCATCTTAATCCACGCTAAATCGAAAGCAAAAACAAATACATGGCCGGAACTCACAGAGTAAGCAATATTTAAGTAAAAACCTTTTGTTATGCATGGAAAGCAGCCAAAGAAAAACAAATAGAGAAAAAGGAGGGGAAAGGGTGAAAGGAGACAGAATGATGGAGAGCAATTCGCATAAAATTAACACATTTTAGCAAGACAATCGAAAGAACGCAGAAAATCTCCAAGGAAACCATATTAAAGCTCGCTCAAAATAGAAGTACAAAATAAATTCAATTTCTACCGTAAGGATACCACATTTAAAATCACATTAACGGTAAATAATTTTCTAAAATTTACCGTTTTGCCACACAACACTTAGGACGCTAACTGTACCCACCATTTTGTGAGGTTTAGGGGTTGAGCTTCTTCTTGTTGTTGCCTTCTCCCTTTCACTCTCTGTGGCCGTCTCTTTCTTTTATCTTGTGTCAATATAACGGTCAACAGCTATAGCGACAACAACAACCAAATTCGGAGAGTTGACCTTAACTGTTTATTGGCCGCACTAATCACGGACCGGCGAATATAAACAAGGCGATGACAGCTGTCGGCTAAGTTCTTCTAGTTCTTGTTGTTGTTGTTGTTAGCTGTAACTGAAACTGTAACTGGTACTGTTGCGGTCGTTAGTCTAGTGCCATTCACTGTTCAATTTGATGTGTTGGAATCGTTGACAATTGTGTGAGGCGCATCATAAACAACAATCAATCAACGGTACACGCAACGCGACTGTAGCGAACGGCAGCAGCACAAGCAATGAGCGAACAATAAGCGATGTCTAACTGTAGCAACAGCACAGAAGATGGCGGCAGATGGCGTTTGGCTAAGACAACGCACGCACTAAACACTCAGCACGCAGCACAGTTAACAGTTAAAAGCAGCGACAGCCACGACGATTGCAAACTGACTAACAGTAAACAGCAGCGACGACGACATGATGACCTTCACCAACCCGCACAGCCCAAGGAAAGTGGCAAAAAAAAAAAAAAATAAATAAAACGAAAACTTTTCGCACACAGACACACGAACACAACACAAACCTGTGACGCAGCTGCGGCGCCGACAGAAGCAGCAGTAGCAGCAGCATCAGCCTGAACAACAACAAGCAGCAGCAACAGCGAGCAAAAAGGGCGCCTGGCAAAAGCTTCGGCAGCGGCTTCGCATTTTGATTCCATTTTGCGCTGCGTGCCGAGAGTTGATTTTTTTCTCAAATGCAAAATTGCCATAAACTTGCAAAAAGCTGCTCTCTCGAATGTGTGTGGGTGAGTGAGAGCTAATGTTCGTATCCGTATGTGTGTGTGAGTGTTTGTGTAAGGCTTAGTCGCTCTCACAGCGCTTGTAGAACGAGAGTGAGTGAGAGCGCAATGTAAACATTAGGAGACAGTAGTTGCCAGTTGAGCTACTTGAATATATTATGATATGTGTGCATGCAAGTGCTAGTGAGTGTATTTTATATTCCCGACAGGTAAAAGAGCACATTTAGCGCCTTGTATGCGTGAAGGTGGGCGAGTAATATAAATTTGTATTCCTGTATTTTTAAACCAAGCTAACTATTTACTTTTATAAATTACTTAAATCTCCAATTAAATTTAATTAATATTGAGTTGGTTAGTTTTAAGATGGTATTAAAATAGCACTTAATTATATTTTCTATAGCTGCAAGGGTATTTCAACTTCGACATTTGACTCTACTGTTGGTCATTACGTTTATTATTTCCCGCCTGCGTCGCCCATGCACATCGTCAGAAAACAAATCAAAGCTTTTGCTCAACAATCTAGGGAGAGAGAGAGAGAGAGAGAGAGAGAGAGGAATACAGCAAGCAGCTCGCTATGCTTAAAAGCTTTTCAACCATAAGAAACAACAACAACAATAAACTGCACCAAGTGCAGTGCGTGGGTAGTTAAAAGGTGTGTGGGTTGAGCTGTTAAAGATGTCTCGCAATTACGATCGTATATATAAGCAAGACTCACAATGTCCTCCTCTGGTATGGTGGTGCAGGAGGTGCGTACATGTCGCACACGATGCATTGCATCCAGGCTCAAGCGATGCTCATGGTCATCCCGTAGCATGGCATCGAAGACAGCAACGCCTCCGTCAATGCTGCTCTCCCGCAAAATGCGACCGCCGCGCCCACTAAAGCTCCCACTGCCATGCTGCTGGGCAGCAGCATATCTGACGCCCACCTCCGAGAAGGAACGAATGCGCATTGTGCCATTCTCATCTGTGGTGAGGGCCACTGATTTGAAGCGATCAATAACCGCATCCTGGAATCCGTTTATGCTCAGCTGATTGCCCATGGCGGGCGATACGACGCAACAGACTCAAATTCACAAAATAACGGTATACCGTTATAGACAATAAACGAAGTTGGTTGAAATCGCACACAAAACGGGCGCTTCTGCACGGCGCCAAGTTGTTTATCAAACTGAAGTCCAACGCGGGCATTCAACAGGCAACAAGCAAGCAGCAGGCAGGCTGGAAAGCAGGCAGGCAGGTAGGTAGACGACAGGCTGGCTGGCACTCGTAGAGAGCGAAACGGGTGGGTGTAACAGCAAGCAATGTGAAGAAAAGAGAGGGAGAGCGCGTAGGCCACAGGTGCCGCTATCGCTGCATTGTGACAATACGAACAAAAACTGCAGTCGTGTCAGAACTTTGCTGCCAGGCAGCCATTTTCAGGAACCATTTGGAAGCTTTTAAGCTTCTCCTACGCTCAATGCAATAATGCAAGCCGCAACCTACGCACACACATATACAGCCACAGTGAGTGTTTATTAATGTATTGAAGCGAAAGCGAGAGCGAAGAGGAGAGCGAAGGAGAGAGCTATGATTAACCAATGAAGCATCTCGCATGCTACTCCCGCTATTTATTTATTTTTCTTCTAAATTAGTCCATGTTGTGGTCACTGCTGACCCCAAAATAGACTAACAAGCGATTTATTGATTAACAACGGCGAATTTCAGGGATGAACAATAGCAGCCAAAAGTTACGGTATAATAATTATTATGTAGATAAGAGACGGAAGTAGCCTAGTTAACGTTAATAGGGGGATAGCATGAAAACTATTATGTTACACTCATGTCTTAACGCTATTCCGTATAAATTCTTCAAACAATCCTTAGATAATGCCGAAAACGAGTTTTCAGTAAAAAAAAGGGAAAATTTTATTGTGATGGTAAAATATCTATAAATCAGAGCTAAGTAAGAGGCAGTAAAATGGCAATTGTCTTTGATAAGTATATCCATTGATTAAGTAGACCGGCCTTTGTTTAGTTTCGACTTCTTCGATTGGACTCGCACACTTTGCCGCTTTGATGGATGCGTGGACTTGAATTTTCTGACAGTACTTGGCAGAGCCTTTATTGCTTTCAATTTAGACTTTGCTTGCTTACTAGTCTTTTTATATTGGGTAGTCACAGGCAATAAGAGATCAACGGCTAGACGTGCGCCTATATAATTAGGCTATGAAACGGAATACAGAGTAATTTTTCATTATTTATGTAAAGGATTGACCAAATGTGCTCGCTTGTTCGCTCCTCACCTCTTCGAACATTAACCGCTCGACTGGATGTAGCTTTCTCCAAGTGGCAGCTGCATCGCAGACCATTTTCTGGGGTGAAATGCTTCGGTCATCACAGCCCAGCCAATATTCTCGCAAGAAATTGTAATAGGGGCTAGATGTCAGCAATACTGGTACATTATCCATTGTCAATCGAAAAAATGTAATCGAACCAATTATTAATTTCCAACACCCGAAATTCAAAAATGTACGATAAATTTTTTTTAAATATTTCTCTACGTTGTTTACTGTATAAAAGCTGTAGTTCATCTGACTTGAATTTGTACGAAATATGTATAGCTTGGGAAATGTTGTCCTTTTCAAAGCCTACTCTTC